TTAATGCCAATACCAATACCCAAAAGCCCAAGAGGCCTGTGGAAGGCCTGGAAAGGCGCCTGGCCCAGGGGGGAGGCCAGGGGAGGTGTCCCAGAGCACGGGGTGGAAGGGCTGTGGGCTGCATCCCAAGTGACGCACGAGCGTCAGCCAGGTGATCGCGAACAGGGACGGAAGACGGAGTGCAGAGGAGGAAGGGCACCGGCAGGGGCCACAGGTCAGCAAAGATGCAGACGAGAAATGCGCCTGTCAGAAACTCACAGGCGAGGTGGTGTTATGAAGACTGAAACTGTGAGGCAGGACTCAGAAATGCCAGAGACGCAGAGATCTCACAGGCAGAGACAGGAACAGACAGAGTATTTTCAAAGAAGCAGCAGATCAGAGTTACAGCTGACTTTTCTTCTGTGACGATGGAAGCAAGATAAAGTGGAATGTGGAAGAGCTCAAGATACTGAAAGAAAGTGATTGCCAATGCAGCATTCCAAACTTGGTGAAAACATCTTTCAGCTATGAAGGCAGAGAGAGAGAGACAGAGAGAGGAGCAACCAAGAGTGTTTGCTACCAGAAAACCATCTCTAGAGGACCTTCTAAGATATATGTCAGAAAAAAAATGATTCTGATGGAAGATCTAAGATGCAAGGAATAAAGAGTAGAGAATATGGTAAATATGTATGTAAATCAAAATGAACAGTGAATGTATAAAATAATAATAATAATGTCTTTTGGAACTCAAAAATATAGAATTGATATTTCACTGATGATAAAATGCCACTAATGGTAAGATACACAATTTATATCACTAAGAGAAAAAATGCTGCCAATGAAACTATGACAAACATTTTGATATAGCTCTCACCAGCATATGCCTCAGACCCTCTCGTTGATTTGAAATTTCTTTGATCTGTTCTAAAGGACTTGGCAATTTCTCCTGACTTTATCTGCATCGACGGGTGATGACATAGATCACTCTTTTGCTTTTGTCTTAGTAACAAAGAGTAACATGGCTTCATCCACATATGGATATCTCTCTTTCTCAGATTCTATAAAACACCAGGTTGTTGCTTACACACAAAAATATGGAATTTTGGTCATTCCTCAAACAAATAATATGGGTGTCACAAATATGAAATGCATGCCTACTCTTTTAGTCCTGTGCCCCCCTGCACACGCAATAACTTTTTGTTTCAGTACCACCTAATAATGTAATCCTTTTGAAAATGTTTGAAAAGGTATTAAATTAAACATATATCAATAACCACATAACTCAATTAAAGTGAGACAGGTTGAGTATCCCTTATCTGAAATGCTTGGGACCAGAAGTGTTTTGGATTTTGGAATATTTGCATTGTACTTACCAGCTGAGCATCCCAAATCCCGAAATTCAAAATCCAAAATGCTCCAATGGGCATTTTCTTTGAGTGTCATGTCAGCACTCAAAGAT